AGAGGGTAGCCAGGCAGAGGGTTGGCCCACTCAAGGACAGGGAAGGGAATTTATGTGTGGAGCCAAAAGAAATGGGCAAGGTATTAAATGAGTACTTTGTGTCAGTATTCACCATAGAGAAGGACATGGTGGATGATGAGTCTGGGGAAGGGTGTGTAGATAGTTTGGGTCATGTTGAGATCAAAAGGGAGGAGGTATTGGGGGTCTTGAAAAACATTAAGGTAGACAAGTCTCCAGGGCCTGATGGGATATACCCCAGAATACTGAGAGAGGCAAGGGAGGAAATTGCTGGGGCCTTGAAGGAAATCTTTGTATCCTCACTGGCTACAGGGGAGGTCCCAAAAGATTGGAGAATAGCCAATGTTGTTCCTTTGTTTAAGAAGGGTGGCAAGTATAATCCAGCTAATTACAGGCCAGTGAGCCTTACATCAGTGGAAGGGAAATTATTGGTGAGGATTCTTCGAGACAGAATTTACTCCCACTTGGGAATAAGTGGGCATATTAGCGAGAGGCAACATGGTTTTGTGAAGGGGAGGTCATATCTCACTAACTTGGTTGAGTTTTTTGAGGAAGTGACGAAGATGAGGGTAGGGCAGTGGATGTTGCCTACATGAACTTCAGTAAGGCCTTTGACAAGGTCCCTCATGGCAGACTGATACAGAAGGTAAAGTTGCATGGGGTCAGAGGTGAGCTTGCAAAGATGGATAAAAAAACAACTGACTTAGTCACAGAATACAGAGGGTAGCAGTGGAAGGGTGCGTTTCTGAATGGAGGGCTGTGACTACAGGCGTTCCTCAGGAATCAGCGTTGGGACCTTTGCTGTTTGTAATCTATATAAATGATCTGGAGGAGAACGTAACTGGTCTGATTAGTAAGTTTGTTGATGACACAAAGGTTGGTGGAATTGCAGATAGCGATGCGGATTGTCAAAAGATACAGGAGGATATAGATTGATTGGTGACTTGGGCAGAGAGATGGCAGATGGAGTTTAATTGGGAAAAAAGTGTGAGGTAATGCATTTTGGAAAGTCTAATCCAGATGGAAAATATACAGTAAACGGCAGAACCCTTCAGGGTACTGATAGGCAGAGGGATCTGGGTGTACAGGTACACAGGTCACTGAAAGTGGCAACGCAGGTGGAGAAGGTAGTCAACAAGGCAGATGACATGCTTGCCTTCATCGGCCATTTAGTTTAAAAATTGGCAGGTAATGTTGCAGCTTTACAGAAGCTTAGTTAGGCCGCATTTGGAATATTGTGTTCAATTCTGGTCGCCACACTACCAGAAGGATGTGGTCTGATATGGAGGGCATTAGCTATGAGGAGAGGTTGGAGAAACTTGGGTTGTTCTCTCTGGCACGATGGAGGTTGAGGGGGGACCTGATAGAAGTCATGGGCACAGACAGAGTGGATAGTCAGATGCTTTTTCCCAGGGTGGAAGAGTCAGTTACCAGGGGCCAAGGGTTTAAGGTGCAAGGGGCAAGGTTTAAAGGCGACTTACTAGGCAAGTTTTTTTTTTTTAAAACAGAGGGTGGTGGGTGCCTGGAACTCGCTGCCAAGAGAGGTAGCAGAACCAGATACGACAGTGGCTTTTTAAGGGCATCTTGACAAATATACGAATAGGATGGGATTAGAGGGATACGGTCCTCAGAAGGGTTGGGGGTTTTAGTTGTGATGGGCACCATGTCAGTGCAGGCTTGGAGAGCTGAAGGGCCTGTTCCTGTACTGTAATTTTCTTTGTTCTATGTAAATGGAGTACAGTAGTAAGCTGAGAATGCGTCCTTGGGTGGCTCTAGTGTTGACTGTTATTGTGGAGGAGGAGCAATTACCTATCTTCACTGATTGTGGTCTGTGGGTCAGAAAGCTGAGGATCCAGTTGCAGACAGTGGAGCTGAGATCAAGATCATGGAGTTTTGAGATCAGTCTGGTGGGGATAATAGTGTTGAAGGCAGAGCTGTAGTCGACAAGCAGGAGTCTTTGTGTCTTTGATGTCCAGATGTTCCAGGGCTGAATGCAGGGCTAGGGATTTGGCATCCTCTGTGGACTTATTATGTCAGTCGCCAAACTGTAGGGGATCGAAGCGGGCCAGGAGACTGGAGTTGATATGGGCCATGACCAGCCTCTTGAAGCCTTCGTGACTATTGAGGTCAGAGCCACTGGGTGCTTGTCATTAAGACACATTGTATGTGCTTTTAGGTACTGGAATGATGGCGGTCTTCTTGAAGCAGGTGGGGACTTCAGCTTGTCGGAGGGAGAAGCTGAAGATGTCGGTGAATACCTCCGCCTGTTGGTCTGCACAGGATCTGAGCGTGCAGCCGGGGATACCATTCTGACCCGTCAGTTTCCTTGGGTTGACTCCGAGGAAAGCCAATCTGATGTCTGAAGTGGTGACGGAGGGGACAGGTGTGTCTGGGGTTGTCAGGGCAGGCGTGACCGTTGCGCAAACCGAGCATAGAAAGCATTCAGCTTGTCAGGGAGGGATGTGTCTTTGTCCACTACCTTGTGCTGCTTAATTTTGAATCCCATAATATCATTTAGGCCTTGCCGTAGGCTGCGGGAGTCTGTTTGATAGATTTGGACCTCCAGCTTGGTCTGATACTGCCTCTTGGCACTGATAGCTTTGCAAAGGTCATATCTGAATTTCCTGTACTGGTCCGGGTCACCAGTCTTGAATGCTGCACATCTGGTCTTCAGTAGGGAGTAGGCTTCCTGGTTCATCCAAGGTTTATGGTTGGGGAATACTCGGATCAACTTCTTTAGCATGCAGTCCTATATACATTTGCTAATGAAGTCCTTGACTATGGTGTCATACTCGTCTAGGTCTTCCGCTATACGGTCCAGTCGACCGATTCCAAGCAGTCCCAGAGATGGTCTTTCACTGCCTTGGACCAGCATTGTATTTATTTTCATGAAGGAGTCTCCTGCTTCAGCTGTGTGTGAAAAAGTTGCCTCTCAGATCACTTTCAAATCTTTCTCCTCTCACCTTAAAAGTATGCCCCCTAGTTTTGAACTCCCCCACCCTAGGCAAAAAAAAAGACCCTGGCTATTCATTTTATCTATGCTTCTTGAGATTTTACAAACCTCTAAGATTATCCCTCAACCTCCTGTGCTCCAGTGTAAAACAAAAAGCCCAGCCTACCCAGTCTTTCTTTATAAGTCAAACTCTCCAGTCCAAGCAACAGCCTTCTAAACCTTTTCTGAACTCTCTCCAATTTAATAATATTCTTCCTACAGCAGGGCAACCATAACTGTACACAGAACTCCAAAAACGGTCTCACCAACGTCCTGCACAACCGCAACATGACATCCCAACTCCCACATTCAATGGTCTGAGCAATGAAAGCAAGAATGTTAAATAACAAGACATAGAGCTGAATGGACATAGAGCTGAATGAACACAGCAGGCCAAGCAGCATCATAGGAGCAGGAAGGCTGACGTTTCGGGCCTAGACCCTTCATCAGAAATGGGGGAGGGGAAGGGGGTTCTGAAATATGCTAAATGCCTTCTTTACCACCCTACCTACCTGTGATGTAACTTTCCATGTATGTACCTGAACCCCAGGTCTGTCTGTTCAACAACAGTACCGAGGGCCCTAACATCAGCTGTATAAGTCCTGCCCTTGTTCATCTTACCAAACTGCTGTATCTCTCAATTATCCAAATTAAATTCCATCTGTCATTCCTCAGGACATTGGCCCAACTGATCAAGATTCTTTTGTAATCTTAGATAACCTTTTTCACTGTCCATTATACCACCAATCTTGGTGTCATCTAGGATATTGGTGGTTCTCCTTTCGACTGGGACACCACCAAAATCCTGGGAAAAGCAAAGCAGAGACAAGCACGGGAATTCCTAGAAGCCTGGTACTCCACGAAGAAAGCCATCAACAAACACACAGAGCTCGACCCCATATACACTCCACTGCAAAGGAAAACCGGAAGTGAGGTAATCCAGCTCAACAGACTCCACAGTGTAAACAACAGGCAGGAAAACATAATGGCGCTTCATCGGAGGCTACACTGATGACGTTACCCAGCAGGGTAACGAAACGTCTGCGAAACAACGAACCAGCTCGGCGAGCCAACCAACTACAACATCCACAACCCGAGCTACAAATCTATTCTAAATCCTTATCTGTAAACTTATTAAGCCTGCTTCCCAAATTCTCATCTAAATCATTTATATCAATGACAAACAACAGTGGATCTAGCACAGATTGCTGCGAACACCACTGGTTACAGGTCTCCGGTCCGCAAAACAACCCTCCTCATGTTCCTCCAGTTCTGGCATCTAACTCATTTATAACTCCCTTTAGCATACTACTGGGTTCCATGTCTTCAGGTGCTCAAATCCTGAGCTGTGAAATCCTCTCTGCCTCTCTCTTCCTGTAAAATACTCCATGACATGTACCTTTGTGATCACTCCAATACTTTCCTGGCTAATCTCATGTTTTTCACTCTCTATGCACTCAAAGTCTTTCAAGTTGAATTTGCTTATGTCGATTACAAATATGATCAATTCTAAATCTCTTATGCACTTTAAATCTCTGTGATTTCATCTTCCATTAAATATACGCGTGACTTACTAAATTTATTGATAACATTCCTGTGAAGTGCCTAGGAATAATTTTCGAGTTGCTGTTTCTACCAAGCAGAATCAAATACTATAATGGGAATTTGCGAAATGTAAACTTAACAGCTAGGTTAAGAAACATATCTTCATTTATTGCCTGGTAATTTACTAAACTAAGTAACAGATTCAGGAACACAATCAAGATAAGATGGCTTGGTGGGAGAATCAATTTCCCGGATGAATGAGATTTGACTACAATACAGGCTATTACGTAATCAATCTACTTTTCTAGAAGCTATTTGGCAGAGTTTCAACAACTTATCCCAATTTGATGATTTTGCATCAGGTACCAACCACAGTGAATTGCACGTTAATAAATGTAGATGCAATAGACAATGACCTCTGGAAAAAGAAAATAACAATACAAACCTGATTTAAGATACCGTTTGACGATCAACTCATTTTGTTGTTGGTCTCGACCAGCTATTACAAGGTAGTTTTCACTGCTGATAAACCACAAGAACTTCTCAAACCTAACAAAGAAAATAAAAGTTAGTAATAATTTGCACTGAGTCATTGAATCAGAGTTATACAGCAGGGAAACAGACCCTTCAGTCCAACTGTTTCGCACCAACCAGATATCCTAAACTGATTTAGTCCCTTTTGCTGGCATTTAGCCCAAATCTCTCTAAACCCTTCCTATTCATGTATCCATCCAGATGCCTTTTAAATATTGCAACCGTACCTGCCTCCACCACCTCCTCTGGTGGCTAGTTCCATACAAGCACCACCCTTTGCATGAAAAAGTTATGCCTCAGATCCCTTCAAATCTTTCCCCTTTCACCTTAAACCTATGCCCTCTAGTTTTGGACTCCCCTACCCTGGGAAAAAGAGCTTGACTATTTATCCTATCTGTACCCCTCATGATTTTATAAACCTCTTTTAGGTCACCCCTTAGCCTCAACACTCAAGAATTTAAGATTTGCTGCTAACTTTTCAGTTTATCTGTTATAATGGCTAGCTTGAAATGTGAGAAGGTTACCTTAATTTATCGTGCAGAGTTTGAGCTATAGGGAGAGGCTGAATAGGCTGAGGCTTCTTTTCTCTAGAGTTAAGAAGACTTGCTACAGATTTATTAAAATGCTTCAATCATTGGAATTAAATGTACCTTGATAAATGCATTAGGATATTTTTAGAAATTGACAGAAGTCATATGCAGCACTTGATATAAAAAGCACATGATTCAGAATAGATCAAAACTGCCGTTTTAATAAATGCACTGAATTCAAATTCAATTTTAAAAGGACGACTGGCACTTGTACTGTTTCACTAATGTCTACTCAAATGACACACTGGCCTGGATCTTGCACAACTTGTTGCTGATCTGGAAGAAACCTGCCCACAAAGATGAAGACATCTTTGTGGATTGGATTTCCTCTTTATGTCAGTTTTAGTTCATGCCAAGTCAAAGTGACCTTCAGGCAACAACTTGATGCCATTAAGTAGGATAAGCAGTCAATCACAATGAAGCATCCTTAATATGCAAATTATCATAATAGAGAAACTTGATATTTTAACAATATAAAATTAGTTTTTCAGGGCCTATGAAGCTGTTTGGTAGGCATTATGGACTTTATAATCTGTTTAAAAAAACCTAGCTAAACCTTATTCAACAAAACATGAATTGAAAAGTTGCAAATTTATATTTATTGACTTTTTTACATGGCATCAACTTGCAGACTGTGTCTAATTTATCGGAGTATGAAAAAATCCTTCAATTACTTGATAGTGCAGCACGTAAGTGGATTGTGCTTTCATTTCTCCCAGGCTTGAAGCTAGTCCGAATTGACAAGATAAAGACCTCTGCTGGATGGTGACTGCATGTATTCTTTATAAAATACCTATAGAAGCTTAAATTCTTATCTCATACAAAGCAGCATAAAACTGTCCTAAAATCTACCAAGGGCTGGATTTTACATTTTCTGGCAGGGTGAGGAAAGAACCGTGCTGCCCATACCTCCTTGACACTGCAGTTTTAGCTTGCATATCAACATCAGACAGCTAAATTAGTAGGCGGGCAGCCAAGTAATAGTACAAAGTGGAGGCATCACACTCAATCAGACTTCCATGCCAGACCATTGAGCAAAAGGCTCAGGTCATGAGCAGAATGTCAGTCAAAATCACCAATTTCAAGGCTCCTGCCCTTTCAATCTCACTATTTCTTATAGCAAGCTCAAAACAGTTGACAAATTAAGACAGAATATACAGATCCTGTCATCTTCAACAGCAGATTGATAGTACTCACATCCAGCGTATGGACACACTCTCACCATTTACTTCATTATAGTCGGCTCACTGATACTCGGTTTGTGTTCCTCCAGGAGCATACAAATCTAATCATTATGACAGTCTTGATCAAATATCAACAACAACAACTGAATTCCAGAGATGACATGAGAACCATGTGTTTGACACCAAGGAACCTTAGCCAAAGTTAACTGAATGGAAATCAGGGGATACGGTTTCCATTGGCTGGAGTCATGTATAGCACAAAAAAAAATTATATAATGATAGTTGGAGGCCAATCAACTCAGTCCCTGAACATGCCTGCAGGGGGTCCTCAGGGTAGTGTCCTATACACATCCTTCCGGAGCTGCTTTATCAATTAACCTCTCTGCACTATAAAGATCAGAGGTGGAAACATTCACTAATGATTGCTACACTGCTGTAGCCTAGGTTGTTAAGTGGTAAGTATGGTCCAACTGTTACAATAGTCAACACAATGACCTTCTTCAACAAACGAAACCACAGAGCCATCCCTTCCAAATATTAGCACAGTAAATCCTTCATTATCAACCTGGCAGCTACCAACGGGCAAGAACTTAACAGTGATGGAATATGCTCCACTTGCCTTTGTGAGTGCAGCTCCAATAATCAGGAATCTTCACACCATTCAGGCTAATACAATGCACTTGATCAGAATTTGTCCACCATCTAAAACATTAATTGCTTCCACCAGTGGTGTATGGTGGCACAGTGTACACCATCTGCAAGATGCACTGCATCTACTCAAGTCTGCCTCAACAGGACCTTCCAAACCTGCAGTCTCTACCACCTAGAAGAACAATGCAGCAGACATGTAGGAAAACAACAAGCTACAATTTACCCTCCAAATCATGCATCATAAGTGGAAATATATCACTGTTCCTCAACTGACTCTGTGTCAAAATCAGAACTTTGTGTACCTTTACAACATGAACTGCATCAGTTCAAGAAAGCAGCTCACCAGTATTTGAGCAAAGGCAATTACGGACGGTCAGGAATTCTTGGTCTTGCCAGCAGCACTTACATCATAAAAAAATTTTAAAACTGATGAGTCATTATTTTTTAGAATTCCTATGTTCTACACTAACCAAACCCAGCAATGATTTATCTTGTATTAGTCTGTCGCCTTTAATTCAATAAATTAAAACTACAAGTGCTTGTAATAGGGTGAGAGTTAAGTCTAGTCCTGTCCAGATAACAAAGCAGATTCCTAGAAAATATCCGAGGCAGATCCCACTCATTTATAACATCTACATAATGCAGGTGTCCATTATCTAAAACCAGGCCAAGTAAAGGGAACTTTGTTTTGAATCAAGACTTGATGATAAATGCTTGATGCCAATACCAACAGTATTAAATAAGAATCCATTCAATTTTTCATCAAAATCAGTTTTTCTCGTGCAGTGAGTTGATCTCTTTTGTCTCTTTCACTCTTTCCTCCCTGTAAGGGGATACCTGATCCACCCAATAATAGCTTTGTTAAGATAAGGACGTAGCTGTGTGAAGAAAATATCAGTGCAACCTGCATCCTTTGGCATATTGGTTTATGTACTGAAGCAATCTGATAACTTACATACAAAATACTTTAAATCATTTCCATTTGGCTTTTTGCTTAATCACTTGTTTTAATCATAAATGAGATTCAGTTTTCCTGTGAGTATTTACTTGTCTCATCCTGAGACATTGTATCAAATCACCTTGGACACTTTATTTCCCCAATCAACCTGCTTAGGGATGTTATGATGCACCTCTGGAGCAGGTGGGACTTGAACCAGAGCCTCCTGGATCAGAGGTAGGGACACTACCACTGCATCACAACAGCCCTTTGATCACCTTTATGATCTAATAAGTCTTAATCAGAACTAAAAATAAACAAAGATCTGTAGATGCTGGAAATCTGAAAAAGACAAATTGCTGGTGTAAATCAGCAAGACTGGCAGCATCTGTGGAGGAAAAGCAGAGTTGATGTTTCAGGTCCTGTGACCCTCCTTCAGAACTGATTGCAACTGGAAAAGAGTTGGTATATATTGCTGAAGATGGAGTGGGGGAGGAGTAAACAACAGGCGAAGATGGAGCGCAGGAGAGTGAACAGCGGCTGGACAGACAAAGGAATGGGTAATGCTTAGCCTGAGAGAATCAATAGCTGCTAATGATGACTATTAGCAGCTGACAACAGGTTGGTTGTGGTAGTAGCCTATGCGATGACAAGGCCTGGTCTGTGGGAGTTGGGGGACGGACTTGGAAGAGGTGCTCAGGCCCCAAAATTGTTGGACTCAATATGGAGTCCTGGATTGCAGCAAATGGGATCTGTTTTTCCAGCTTGTGCTAAGCTTCACTAGAGCACTGGGAACAGAAAAGTTGGCCAGGGAACACAGTAGTATGTTGAAGCGTTGAAGTCACTAGCCAAGACACCAGACACACCTTCCAGGTGAAGGAGCAATATACCTGCACTTCACTCAATCTGGTCTAATGTGTTCACTACTCACAATGTGCTCTCCTCTACACTGGGGAGGCAAAACGCAGACTGGACAACGACTTTGCAGAACACCTACATTCTGTCCGCAAAAATGACCCTGAGCTTCCGGTTGTCTACCACTTCAATACACCACCGTGTTCCCTGGACAATGTCTCCGTTTCAGGTTTGCTGCAATGCTCCAGCGAAGCTCAGCACAAGATGAAAGAACAGTATCTCATTTTCCGCTTGGGGACACTGTAGCCTTCGGACTCAACAGAGAGTTCAATAATTTTAGGTCCTAAGGGCCTTCTTCCATGTCGTTTACCCACCCCAACACACCAGGCCCTGTCATTACAAATGCTGCTACCACAACCAAGCCGTTGTCAATTACTAATGGTACCCATGAGCAACTATTAATTATCCCAGACTGACCATTACCTATTTCTTTGTCTGCCCAACTGCTGTTCCCTCTCTCTGCACTGCAACTTCACCTATTGTTTACTCCTTTCCCATCCCCACCTTCAGCATAAATATATCAACCTTTTCCTATCTACAATCAGTTCTGAATAAGGGTCTCTGGACCCAAAACATTAAATCTGCTTTCTCCCTACAAATGCTGCCAGATCTGCTGAGTTTCTCCAGTAATTAATGTTTCTGCTTAATCAGAATTACCCATTGTACACTAGCTCATTTAAATGGATTATCAAAGTTACAGGCTTAGTAGTCTTTTTCAGAAGGAACTTACTCTATATTCATATAATAGTAGTGTCCCTACCCTCTTGGCCAAAAGGCCTGGGTTCCAGTCCCAGCTGTTCTAGAGATGTGTCATGATGTGTCTGATCAGGTCAATTAAAAATATCTATAATAATTATCACACAACCCACCAATATACTTTTCTTGCCTTCTGAATTGTAATGACTGTTTGAACTTCTTTTAATGTTCTTTTTGTTTTTTTCTCCGCTGATTTAAGTGCCTAAAAGGAAATTAAATTAAATTTTAAAAAAATTTGTTGGAAGTTAAAAAGAAAACAAATTTAACTTAGTCATGTCAAGTCGAAATCTATAGTGCAAGTGGAGATCATAAGGAAATCAAAAATACATTCTAAAACAATGAAATATTGTGGTTGGTTGGCTCACTGAGCTGGTTTGGTGTTCCGCAGACTTTTCATTACCCTGCTGGGTAACATCATCAGTGCAGCCTCCGATGAAGCACCGTTGTGTTTTCCCGCCTGTTATTTAAACTCTGGAGTCCGTTGAGCTGATTACCTCACTTCCGGTTTCTCTTCATAATGGAGTGTATATGGGGTCGAGCTCTATGCGTTTGTTGATGGCTTTCTTCGTGGAGTACCAAGCTTCTAGGAATTCCTGTGCTTGTCTCTGCTTTGCTTGTCCCAGGATCTTGGTGTTGTCCCAGTTGAATTGGTCATTCTCCTTATCCACATGGATAGAGATGAGCGAGTATTGGTCATGTCTTTTTGTAGCCAATTGATGTTCGTTTACCCTTGTTGTTAATTTCCTTCCTGTTTGTCTGACGTAGTGTTTGTCACAGTCTCTGCAGGGAATCTTGTATATGACATTGGTCCTGTCCACAGTGGGTAGTGGTTCAGGTGAGCAGTTGTCGTACGTAGGGTTGATGTGGGTTTGTGTGCTACTCTGTGTGCGCACAACCACTGGGCATCAGAGTAGCACACAAACCCACATCAACCCTATTACAACTGCTCACCTGAACCAAAGACCCACTATCCACTATGGACAGGACCAATGTCATATACAAGATTCCCTGCAGAGACTGTGACAAACACTACGTCGGACAAACAGGAAGGAAATTAACAACAAGGGTACACGAACATCAATTGGCTACAAAGACATGACCAATGCTCACTCATCTCTATCCACATGGATAAGGAGAACCACCAATTCGACTGGGACAACACCAAGATCCTGGGACAAGCAAAGCAGAGACAAGCACAGGAATTCCCAGAAGCCTGTTACTCCATGAAGAAAGCCATCAACAAACGCACAGAGATCGACCCCATATACACTCCATTACGAAGGAAGGTAATCCAGCTCAACAGACTCGAGTTTAAATAACAGGCGGGAAAACACAATGGCACTTCATCGGAGGCTGCACTGATGATGTTACCCAGCAGGGTAATGAAACGCCCGCAAAACAACAAACCAGCTCAGTCAGCCAACCAACCAGAACATCCACAACCCGAGCTACGAATCTACTCTAAAATCCTTAGAAAACAATGAAATGTATACATCCTAGAATCCCAAAAGGAAACTAATAAGAGATACAGAATTCTGGGTAGTGTGTCTTTTAGGTGCTCCATAAACATAGAAGTTTTTGCTAAGATCAAGAAGTTCTCTCATAATATCCTAATATTTTAAAAAGGAGCAATATGTTTATACAACAATTAGAGGTAGATAAATGATGCTCACTTGAGCCCAAAATTGAATTCTTTGATATTAATATGCCATATAAATCAGAAATAAAAATAAAATCTCTCTCCATCCAAATTTGATTTCTTATTCACAGATGCTGGCATTTGAAGACACTTTCCCAACATAACAAATCAGAACTGATCTTTTCACTTGGCCACTTTCACACACCACATGGCCAACCCAAAGTTGGTAGAGGCTTGTGAATGAATCACCGGCACCTGAACAGCAAAGTTCAGGACCAGTGAAATCCAGACCTGACAAAGTGAAGAGAAGTACAGGTGTTAAATATGACTTCCTAAAGTCAAGACAGAAATTTGTTTGCATTCTCCGTTTCCTGCTTTTCATACTGCTGCTCTAGACACCATGAGGGAGAAATTAATTGGAAGTGGTACCATACAGACATATACCAAATCCTAGGAAAGCAGCATCACAAATCAGCTGTCTTCATTGTAGTCATTTCTCTTCCAATGTGGAATATTTCCTACCTTTTCTGCAGCTTCAACTGTCTTCTTTTCCTTCTTTGCTGCATGCCTTTTGTGATCATAATATCTGCACCAGAATTTCATTTGAAATACAAAACAACATTGTTAACATATTCAACATCTGTTAACCAGCAAGAATTGAATATCAAAACAACAGATATTACAACAATTTCATCCCATTCTTTTTTCACTACAGGATTGTTCTTTTTGTAACCACATTCTTCAATTATTATAATTACATTAACTCTACATACAGCTATGGTAAAATTGGCCTTTCAAACTACAAATTGGTAGCACCCAGTAATTCAATGCAACAGTATGCAAATAGGCTGACGATGCATTATTTTTGATGCAACAGTCTTAGTTTGGAAACCATGAAGTTGTGAGCAATTCAGAAGAACCACTAGAATTACAGGCCAGGTTAGCAGGTCGGTCAAACATTTTGGTGACTAATTGGTCCACTAGTGTCAGAATCCCAACGAAGTTGTACTTTAACTCTGCTGATAAAAAGAACTTCTGTCTGGTAACTTTGGGGCAGAAGAGAAATTTACATAAAATTGGACATTCTTGTATATTTTAGCACATTGTGACACTTCAGAAAGTGTAAAATCAAGCTTTACACTTCAAAAACGTGAAGTGGGAAGGCAATGGCTTACAGAGTCAGAGATAAACAGCATGGAAATAGACCCTTCGGTCCAATTTAGTGGTAATGTAAATGGACTAGTTACCAAGAGCATCAGGCTTTCCATGGGGCCATGAAATTTTGAATCCCACCATGGTGGATGGTGAATTTTGAATTCAGTGTAAAAAAAACCGATATCAGAAAAAGCAAGTCTTCTGTCAGCAAAATCCCATCTGGTTCACTATGTCCTTATCTGATCTGGCCTAATTACACCCACAGCAATGTGGGTGACTCTTAAATGCCTTCTGAAATGGTCTAGCAAGTCAGTCAGTCATTCAGTTGTATCAAACTATTATACAGTCTAAAGAAAGAAATTAAACTGGACTGACCAACAGGCATTTACCGAGGCACTGGAAAGGACAACGGCTAACCAAGCCCTGCCTATCCAGCAAAGGGCTCTCTAACAACATCGAGGTGTGGCAAAATTGAGAGAACTGTCCCACAAACGAGCCGAGTCACAGCTTAACACAGTCATTGTCTATAAGACGCAATTTTGTCACAATGTTCGAGACATCAGAATCCCTTGATATGATCCATACAACTGGCAAAATACACCAAGCAGAGGTGTTGGCACAGAGGTGTACAAACAGGATGAAGTTGAGCTGGAAATCTTCAACATTGCCTCAGAACCCCATCAGATCAAAACATGGATAAGGAAACCTCCTGCTGATTAATAATCAACCTCTCCCTCAAGCTGATGAATCGGGATGACATACCTACTACACAGCACTATTTGGAGGAAGCATTAAGGGTTCAAAACGTAATCTGTGTGGGATCTTGAGTCTCTACCCTCAAGAGCAACTCAGTAGAACCACTGCTACCTGAGCTGACCAAGCCTAAAGGGCAATGCTGCTAGACCGAGTATGTGTCAAATGGTAAGGGAACAAACAAGAGGAAGAAAAAAACCTACTTGATCTCATCCTCATCAACCTGTCTTTGCAGTATAACAGTATAACTAGCAGTGACCACCACACAGTCATTGTGAAGACAAAACAGCATCGTCACATTAGAAAACATTTCATCATATTGCGTGACACTACAAATGTGCTAAATGGGACAGACTTTGACAGATCTCAGAAACTCAAAACTGAGCATCCAAAAGCAACAGAATCGTTGCCAATAACAAACCAATGGCCTGGCATATCACCACCATTACCCTCCAGGTAAGGAATCAACTTCGGTTCAATGAAGAATGCAGGAAGGAAAAGCAAGTATATCCAAAACAAGGTGTGAACCTAATGAAGATGTAACGCATGACCACTTGGATGTCAACCAGTAGGGGCAGCATGCAGATACAGCTGAACGATATCAAACAAATCAGATATAAGCACTGTATTCCTGTCACATCCAGTTATGAATGGTGATGGAGAGTCAAACAAATAACAGGAGGCAGCACTCCACAGTTTTCCCCATTTCCAATTACAGGGAGCCCAGCACATCAATGCAAAAGGCAAGGCTGAAATATTTGCCCCCCGCCTTCCCCCACTAGCCAGATGTGCTAAGTAGAGCATTCATTTTAGCCTCCTGCAGAGGTTCCAGAGAATCACAGGTGTCAGTCGCCAACCAATTTGATTCACTCTGTGTGACATCCAGAAATAGGTAAAGATACTGGATACTACAGAATTTATTGGACGCTGAAAACATTCCTGCAGAATATTAAAGCTCCAGAACAAGACACACGTCTAACCAAAATGTTCCCGTATGGCTACAAGACTGCCAACTGGATGGTAGTGGCAGAGCAGTAATGTCACTGGACTGGTAATCTAGAGATCGAGGTGAATGATCTGGGAACATGGGTTCAAATCCCAATATGGCAGATGGCGAAATCTGAATTCAGTAGAATCTGGAATTAAAAAGCTAGTTTAATGGTGAACAAGTAAGCAGTGTCGATTGTTGTAAAAACCCATCTGGTTCACTTGTACCTTTTAGGGAAGGAAATCTGGTTTACAAGTGACTGCAGACCCATACCAATGTGATTAACTTGTAACTGCTCTCTGGGCAATTAGGGATGGGGAATAAATGCTGCCCTGCCCAGCTACGTCCACATCCCATGAATGAACCTTTTTTTTTAAAGAAAAAAAAATCACCTGACCTCATTGTTGCCTTGGTGCAAACATAAACAAAAGAGATGACCTCCAGAACTGAGGTGAGAGTAACTATGTTAAAAATCAAGGCAGGACGTGAATGACGTTAAGAAGCCCGAACAAAACTGGAGCTAATGAGAGTCAGGGGAAATCTCTCTACTGGTTGGACTGATACCTAGCACAAATATTCAAAAATATTCAACACAGTGCTCAGTTACGAGTGGTGTACCACAAGGATCTGTTCTCGGTCCTCTTCTATTTGTGATTTTTGTAAGTGATTTGGATGAAGGAGTGGAAGGGTGGATTAGCAAGTTCGCGGACGATATGAAGGTGGGTCGCGTTGTGGACAGTGAGGAGGGCTGTTCTAGGTTACAAAGGGACATTGATAGGATGCAGAGCTGGGCTGAGAACTGGCAGATGGAGTTTAACCCTGAAGAGTGTGAGGTGATTCATTTTGGAAGGACAAACTTGAAAGCAGAATACAGGGTTAACGGAAAGATTCTTGGCAGTGTGGAGGAGCAGAGGGATCTTGGGGTTCATGTCAACAGTTCCCTGAAAGCTGCCACCCAGGTGGATAGAGTTGTTAAGGTGGTGTATGGTGTGTTAGCTTTCATTAATAGAGGGATTGAGTTCAAGAGCCGTGAAGTTACGCTCCAGCTATACAAAACCCTGGTTCGGCCACATCTGGAGTAGTGTGTCCAGTTCTGGTCGCCTCATTACAGGAAAGATGTGGAAGCATTGGAAAAGGTGCAGAGTAGATTTACCAGGATGTTGCCTGGAATGGAGGGAAGGTCTTACGAGGAAAGGTTGAGAGAGCTAGGGCTTTTCTCTTTAGAACGACAAAGGATGAGAGGTGACTTGATAGAGGTGTACAAAATGATCAGAGGTATATTAGACAGCCAGAGACTTTTTCCTAGGGTGGAGGTAGCTATTATGAGGGGGCATAGTTTTAAAGTGAGTGGAGGTAGATATAGGGGAGACGTCAGAGGTAGGTTCTTTATTCAGAGTGGTCAGGGGGTGGAATGCATTGCCGGAGAGGGTAGTGGAGTCGGCCTCATTAGTGGCATTTAAGCGGCTATTAGATAGGCACATGGATGATAGGATAAGGTAGAGGTGGAGGCTAGATAGACCTTAGGATTAGGGTAAAAGTTCGCACAACATCGTGGGCTGAAGGGCCTGTACTGTTCAATGTTCTAAATGAAGATGGTGGTGGTTGTTGGAAGTCAATCATCTCAGTCCCAGGACATCTATGCAGGATCCCATCTGGGTTGTGTCCTAGGGTCAAGCATCCATCGTTAGATGCTTCGTCAAGGACCTTCCCTCCACCGCAAGGTCAGAAATAAATAGTTACAGATCGTTGCACAATATTCAACACTATTCATGACTCCTCAGATACTAAAGCAATCCACGTCCATGTGCAGTAATATGCAGACAACATCCAAGCTCCGCTGTCAAGTCACTAGTAACATCAAGGGACACAAATATCAGGGTATGACAATGTCCAAGAAAGAATTCAACCATTGTTCCTTGCAACTCATTTATTCATGGATTATGGCTGCACTGGTTGGGTCAGCATTTATTGCACATCCTTAGTTACTGTCGAGGTGGTGATGGTGAGCTGCCTTCTTGAAATGCTGCAGTCCATTGCTGTAATTAAACTCACAATGCCATTGAGAAGGAAGTTCCAGGATTTTGATCCAGTGACAGTGAAGGAACAATAATATTACCATGTCAGGATAAGTGTTTCTGCTGATTGTCACTGCTGCGCAAGGAGCTCCAAGGTCATGCAGAAGAAAAACCAAAGTGAACCAAGGACATTCAGAGTGGCTGCTTACACATGCAGCTTAGGAGGGAACTCTGATCAAGATGGCTTGCAGCTTGACATTCCTATGTGTCTGCTGCCCTTGTCTTTCTGGATGGTAATGGTCATAGGTTGGAATGTGCTGCCTGAGGAGCCTTGGAGAATTTCTGCGGTGCATCTTGTAGATTGTATACACTGTTGCTACTCAGCATCAGTGCTGGAGGGAGTGGATTTTATGGGTGTGGTGCCAATCAAGTGGGCTGCTTTGTTCTGGCTCACGACAAGCTTCTTGAGGTGTTATTGAAGCTGCATTCAAGACAAATGGAGAGTATTCCAACAGACTCCTGACTTGGGCCCTGCAGATAATGGTCAGGCTGTGGGGAGTAATGAGGTGAGTTACTCACTTGGTATTCCTAGTCTCTGATCTGCTCAAGTAGCCACATTATTTATGTGGTAAGTCCCAGTCCAGTTTCTGGTTAATGGTAATCCCCAGGATGTTGATCATGGGGATCCAGTGAAGGTAATGCCCACTGAATGTCGAAAGGTGATGGCTTGATTCTTCTTGTTGGAGATTTGCTTTGCCTGGCACTTGTGTGAATATTACTTGCCATTTGTCAGCCCAAACCTGGATACTGTCCAGGTCTTGCTACATTTAGACATGGACGGTTTCTGCGTCTGAGAAGTCACAAATGATGCTGAACGTAGTGTAGTCATCAGAACATCCTCACTTCTGACCTTATGATGGAGGGAAGGTCACTGATGAAGCAGCTGTAGATGAACGGGCCTGGGTCACTACCCTGAGGAACTCCCGCAGAGATGTTTTGGAGCCGAGATGACGGACATCCAACAACCTCAAACATTTTTCATTGTCCCAGATATGACTCCAACCAGCAGATGGTTTTCCCCAACTCCCATTTACCTCTGTTTTGCTACAGCTCTCAGTCAAGTGTGGCATTGATGTCATGGGCTCTCTCTTTCACCTCACCTCTGGAATTCAGCTCATGTGTCCATATTTGAACCAAAGCTGTAATACGGTCAGGAACTGAGTGTAAAACCTGATGTAACATAAACAGAGCAGTAAACTGCTCAGTGATGCTAAGCCAGTATTGTTTGATAGCACTGTTGTTGACATCTTTCATCACTTTACTGATGATCAAGGGTAGACGGCGTGCAGTCATTGGCTAGGTCAGATTTTTCCTGCTTTGTGTGTACTGGACATACCAGGGCAATTTTCCATATTTTTGGGTAGATAACAGTGTCGTAGTTTTATTGGTACAGATTTGCTCGGAGTGTAGCAAGCTCTGAAGTTCAAGTCTGCAGTACTATTGCCAGAATATTATCAAGGCCCACACCATTGCAATATCCAGTACCTTCAACTGTTTCTTGATATCGTGGGGAGTAAATCAAATTGGCTGAAGACTGGCAACTGTGCTAGGGATCTTTGGAGGAGGTTGACACGATTCATCCATTCTGCATTTTGGCCTGAAGACTGTTGAAAATACATCAGCCTCATCTTTTACACTGATGTACTGTCCCTATTAAAGAGGATAGGGATATTTGCGGATCCTCTTCCTCCCGCAAGTTGTTTAATTGTTCACTACCATTTGTGATGAGATGCAGGACTACAGAGCTTAGATCTGATGCATTTGTTGCGGAATCATTTAGCTCTGACCATCACTTCCTGCTGATGCCTTTTAGCACACAAGTCCGGTTTTGTAGTTTCACCATGTTAACATCCCAATTTTTGGTATGCCTGGTGCTGCTCCTGGCATGCCTTCCTGTATTTCTCACGGCATTGTTATCCCCGAATTCCGACAGCCATCAACAACTTGGAGATTATTATTGACCAGAACTGAACTATGCAGCTATATAATCACTGTGGTTACAAAAGCAGGCTAAAGGCAAGGGAATTATGTGTTGTATAATGCATCCCATCACACCAATGCCTGTGCACTATTTAGAAGGGGTGTGTCAGAAGTGTGATAGAATACTCTCCACTTAACCTGATGGGTGCAGCTCTAACATCACTCAAGAAGCTCAAGATAATCCAGGATAAAGCATCCCATTTGACTGACATCCCATCCATCACATTCAACATTCACTTCCTTCAAAGCACAATAGCAGTTGTATCCACAATCTACAAGGTTTATTGTACTAACTTACCAAAGCTCCTGTGGCCTACAGTTCCTAGATGTCTGGTAGCAGATGAACAGGCACACCACCACTTCCAAGCTCCCCTCCGATCTACATACCATGCTGACTTGGAACAACATTACCATTGTTTTACCCATTGCTGGGTCAAAATCCTGCAGCTCACTTTCTTACACCACTATAAATGTCCCTATATGCCAAAGACAACAGCAGTTCAAGGAGGCAGCTAACCACAACCCTGTCCAGGACAATTAGGGATGGACAATAAATGCTAACCTAACCAGCAAGATCCCTATCCCATGAACAAATAAGAAAAAGGTTCAACAGTTATCACTGTTCAATGATTCAGTGTTCTACAACTTCTTCGAACATAATTTAAAATTTTGTTGATTTCTTTGAACAGAAATTAAAGCCTAACCCACATAAACAGTAAGGTACAGAGGTTTTACAATTACACTACTTTTACTACTCAAGAAGTATTCTACCTGTCAGTGATTTTGATAACAATCAATAAGTTAATTAGAAAATTGGTTTTTGCAACTATAGCTTAAATCACAGATTTTAAATCATTTTAAATCTGAATAAAATACAAACTCAAAATTTAAGTTTGACGTTAAAACAACCATGTTCATATATTCAATTTATGAGAAAGCACCCAACTGTCACAGATAATTTAGGTTTGCTAGATGAATACTTACTTTTTTGCATTAGCATAAGCAGACAGATTAAGATCCACATCCACTAACACTGGTCTGTTTTTCTGTAGTATTTTCTTTTGCTGCTTTTTTTTGTCTTTTTTCTTCTTGGCCTTTGCTTGTTCATTTTGAACATCTTCATCTAGATCAACATCATCTTGATCTTCATCATCAGTTACATATGGGTTTCTGAACAAAGTACAGAAATATATATTTATATTGAATTATTTATGCAGTAGTTACCTCACAATTTATCCATTGGGGAATCATGTATTGTAATACCAGCACCCACAAGTAACCCTTCAAGTCACAAGCATCCTGACTTAGAACCATAAATCACTGTTCCTTCTCTGTGCAACACTTGTGTGTGTGCCGACATCATGCAGACTGGAGCAATTCAAGAATAACTACTAACCTCTGAAAGGCACCAAGGGATGGGCAACAAATGAAGGCTTTGCCAGCGATGCTCACATCCAATAATAGAATTAAAAAGTATACCTGATCGCCTCACTTTCATGTTGTTTAAAGGTATGAGGCAACAGGATACAGAAGTAAGATAGGAAGAATAAATCAAGATGCACAGCCGCTGACACTTTATTTTCTATTCAACAGAACTTGAAAGATTTCATTGATATGAACAAAAGTATCAAGGGTGAGATAAGGCTATTATCCCAAGATCCTCTCTTGAATAAGGTTATTTAAAATTGACTTCCTAGCATAAAAATCTTAAAGTAATGAATATTTTGGAAAATGTAAAGGATGCAGATTTCTCTGTTTGACGGGCAGTCCCAATCACCTTTTGCACTAATGTAGAATATCCTTGATTCAGTAGCAACAGGTGCTAAAATCAAAGTAGACACCAGAGCACTAGGTAATTAAGGCTGCTGCCCAGTTCAGCTAATAGCCTCATCAATTTTTCATTGCCTGGGCATTTATCATGCCCCACTAAGCACAGAATCTATTATAAATGCTTTACTCAGCAGTGGCTGTTACCACTGAAGCAAAGATACACAACTATTTGTAATCCTCCAAGCTCCATAAACATAATTTGAGCCACTGCAGCCACCAATTCCCCCATTCTGCATTCCCAAGATCATTATGATAACCTGCCTTGTTGCTGGCTGGATGGCTGCCAAGCTATCCCCAAAGCCATTTGGGGAAAGTTTGGAGCAGGCAGCCTGCAACTTTAAATAAGACTAAAATTAACCTGGTCTCCCGATACATGGAGCTAAAATTTCACACATACAGTTGCCATTGTGTGCAATCTACAAGATGCAGTTACTCACCAAGGGTCCTGTGTTAGCACCTTCCAAACCTGTGACCGCTACCACTTAGAAGGGCAGCTATTTGTTAGGGTTTTCTGTTTCATCTCAGCCCTCAGTTGCCTGTAGGCTTGTTTCCTCTCACTCAAGTTTTGGCAGAGCTGTCAGTTCAGGAAAGCTTTGTACTTGCGATCTAGAAGATCCTGGATCTTCTAATCATTCTGGTCCAACCAGTCTTAGAGTTTTCTGGTCAAGAGGCCGAGTGGCTCAACACAAGACTTTCTTCTGAGGGTCTCAGAATCCAGAACAGCAGTGAACAGCAGTGACCTCTGTCTATGGCCTTTTCCAATCTCACAAGGGCCTACATCTGTGTCTGTCAACTGAGGGATTGGGGGAAATTCACAAATTCAGCTACCTACAGAAATTTGTCACCACACTACCTGTTTATCTAGAATCACAGAATCCTACAATGCAGGCGAGGCCTTTCTGCCCATTGCGCCTGCACCAACCATCCAAAAAAAAAAAAAATTCAACTCAGACCTGCCTCCTAGCCTAGGACCATAACCCCACAATAGCGGTGTCTAATCCAGCTAGCCTGCACATCCCTGGACCCTATAGGGCAATTTAGAATGGCCAATCCACCTAACTTGCCTATCTTTGGACTGTGGGAGGAAACCAGAGCAGCCACGCTTACATGGGGAGAACGTGCAAATTCTGCATAGACCCAAGGCTAGAATTAAACCTGGGTCTCCGATGCTATTTGGCAGCAGTGCTAATTAGTGTGCCACAGTGCTTCACATTGACATGCAAACCATGATCCTCACCAACAGATCCACTACAGACCCAGTATGAATGCAAAGTGGGGTCAAGCAGGCGTGTGCTATTGCACAACAATCTTTTTTCACCTTCCTCGCTGGAACATTCCACCCAATCTCTATGAAGCTCCCCACCAGAGTGGAGCACCCTGAAAGCTGACCTAAACACATGCAACATTCCCACCAAGATGTGGGAATCACTTGCCCCAGAACAACAAAATGGAGAAGCATCCGCAATGGCACCAATCATTGTGAGCAACACCGAATGGAGCACATGGACGCCAAGTGGAAACAGTATACAGATTCCAAAACATCTCACCCACCTGTCTCACCTGTGGCAGAGTCTGCAGCTCCAGGACTGGCCTAATTAGCTACCGCAGAATCCATCCTCTCCACAGTGTGAAAACAAGTTATCCTCGACCCAGCACCAATTGCTGTGGTGCATTGTTGATCAGAAGCTTCCAATTACAAAAACAAATCTCCACTATCACCCTTTGTCTCCTATTTGTAAGCCAATTTTGGATCCAGATTGTCAACTTGATGGATCCCATGGACTCTTATCTTTTGACCAGCCTTCCATGTGGGTTCTTGTCAAATTCTCAAGATGTATGACTGTTTAAATCTTAAGATTTGTGGTAATAAGCAAATTACTAACAAACGTAACAGAAAAGTAAGTATTTGAGCTCCTGCAAATATCTTGGAAAAATGGTTTTGGGAGAAATGTTTTCAGTAATTAGGTAAATACATGACTATTACACTGTAAACTTCAAATTCACATTGTAACAGGTCGATTTTTTCTGTTGCAAAAAGCCTCATTTACTTCAGAGAATGAAGTAGAATTTCCCAATGAATATGTAACTTAGTTATTTGGTAACAAGAGACCTTGAAATTCTTCCATATACAATAACAGCAAATTGTTTAATGCAGCCTAATCTTTGGGGTCATAAGCCACGTGAGAGACTTTTGGTTGCAGTATTTGTTCCACAGTAATAAATTTGCTGAAATAATAACGTGGTCGTTGGAATTGTAATTTTGTGTTGGAGTTGAATAAGATTCTGTGTACGTGGCAGAACATCCACTATGGGGGGGGGGGGGGGGTGCTGCTGTTGTAGTTTAACCTGAGGGTCACCAGACCTCAGACTCTATCACCATTTCATGCCTTAGGTACACAACATAACACTTAAAGATTTAAGGAGGCTATGCATTCTCCAATGCTTAGTCTTATAATGTTGCCAATTGGGCCATCACACAATTTTATAAAGTATCTACTGATGTATCTCTACGTCTGACGTTATATTTAATGCTCTGGTATTTAGAAGTTATCCATTCTATTCAGGAATGCATGGTGTCCTTTCTGTAATTAGTTTGGTTGTGTAATTGCTAATATACTTTGAACTCGGCAATGCAAAATTCTTAAAATATCAGCTAAATTTAAAGCAACCACAATCCAAGAGGAATGTGATAGAAATCCAGTTCAAGCATTATTACTTTGATTCCTCACAAGGGATTTAGAAATGTCATCAGCTCCAAGAATATATTTCATATGTACAGATATGTTCTGTATGGCAACACACTATGGGGAGGATGCTTTTGTACTGGAGAGGGTGCAGAGGAGATTCACCAGGATGTTAAAAACCGAAAGAACTGCAGATGCTGTAAATCAGGAACAAAAATAGAAGTTGCTGGAAAATCTCAGCAGGTCTGGCAGCATCGGCGAAGAAAAAAAAAAGTTAACATTTTGGGTCCGGTGACCCTTCCTCAGAACTAGGAACAGATGCTGCCAGACCTGCTGAGCTTTTCCAGCAACTTCTGTTTTTTTCACCAGGATGTTGCCTGGGATGAAAAGTCTCAGTTATGAGGAGAAACTGGATGAGCTGGACTTATTTTCCATACAGCAGAGGAGGTTGAAGGGGGAATCTAATTGAGGTATACAAAATTAGACAGAGTAATTCGGGAAAATCTCTTCCCCATGGCAAACATGTCTAATACCAGAGGGCATAAGTTTAAGGTGAGGAATACATGGTTTAGAGGAGATCTGAGAAAAGATTTTCTTCATCCACTGGTTGGTAGATATATGGAACATGCTGCTTGAGAGGGTGGTGGATGTAGTATTCTTGCAACATTTATGAACATCTGGAGGAGTACTTAAAATGCCAGAGTACAGTAGGTATGGACCAAGTGCAAGTAAATGGGATTAGTGTGGCCTAGTGCTTGTTGGTCAGCATAGACATGGTGAACTGAAGAGCCTGTTTCTATGCTACATGACGAAATGAGAATTTTAATAAGCAGATTCACATCAACAGTTAAAAGTTAAAAAACTGCTAAGGATCATTGGACTTGAAATGTTAAATCTGTGTCTCTCTCCACAGATGCTACCAGACCTGCTCAGTTTTTCCAGCACTTTGTTTTTATTTCAGATTTACAGCATCTATAGTATTTTACTTTTATCACATCAGCAAGTATTTATTATACTAATATTTTCCAATTCACCATAAATTAGAATGAATATACTATTTTTCATAACTGCAAACAGGTTATACTTTGTGCTATACTGCGTGTGCTGAAATCGTTTTTCAAAACTAAAAACAAGTTATATTTTTTGAATTAAGAGCTTACATTGATTGGCATAAAATGCTTACTTCAGCAACATAGTAATGTGGTTGGTGTTCAGCTTCAGCTCTTTAATGGAACAAGCTACTGGATCTTCTTGTTCCTGTGCTTCTTTTACAATGCTCCCAATTTCTGTCCAGTCAATTTGATTAGCTAAGGCACTGCGTATCACTTCAATAGCTTTATCAACAACATTCAGATTCATCTCAATAAGCTCTCCCTTCAACTTATCATATTCCTATTGAAACAAAAATAAATAAAATTTAATTCCACTTTAAATAAATGTCGTCATTAGAAGTAATTTTATAATATATTTATAAACAACATTTGTTAATACAAATATATCATATTAATGTAGAAAAATATCAATTCAGTGGTATACTCAAAAAAAGGCACGTCACCAAAGAATAATATAGGGGGAGGGGAAATCAAATATGTGAATTTCAAGGAATGCTTAAAGGAAGAAATCAAATTAATAGCATAGGGAACAAATTTTAGAGCAAGAAGCCTTAGCAGGGTATTTGGGAGGAGAGGGAGATGTGTAGGTCACAAGCATCAAGCAATGTGAACAACAGAGCAGCTAAAGTAGTCAGTGAGCACAAAGATAATGGTGAAGAGAGCTTTGTGTGGGATAAGATGCAAACAGATTTTTGAAGAAAGATAGTCAGAAAATTATTGAAATCACCGGTGTCTGAAAATAACAAAAGGATAAGTTTTCAACAGTAGATGGGCTAAAGCAGAAAGTGGGAGTAAATGGATTCTGTGATGGAGAAGATATGGGGTCAAAAGCCCAAGAGGACCCACTCTTTCAGAGTTACAGGTATCACCTCAAAACCAAAATGACATTTACAGATTTTTGTTAATTGTGCTGAACACCCTCTTGGGCAAGGGTATAGGTGCAGCCAATGTCTGCAGACAGTATGCAAACATACACAGATTAATGTCATAATCTGCCTATTATACTGTGTAGACTCCAGCAGCGCCAGTTTGGAGCTCAATGCTTCAGCCAACACCCTCTCTGAATCTTGCATTGTTGAACACACATTAAGCAGGACAGCTCCTCGCCAGAGAAAATTAAAAGCATCATCAACTACTTAAACATGAGTTATTGGTGCTTTCTAGAAGGTGGTGACGGACTTTTCATTGACTTCAAGGCACCTGCAGAAACCAGAAGAGCAGACAGCTGCTAGAATGGGAAGGAGAGGAGTTCTCATCCATAGAACAAGACGTTTAGGGGGTGACATTCCTTCCTAAATATCAGCAAGGAACAATGTGAGATGTCTGCACTTCAGTAAAGGAAATTTGTTGTACTGCATCTGCAACGCAAAGCAAAGCAAAGCAAGAAATACAATGTCAATGGCCAAGAAGGTGGCCATGGCCATGAACCTTTCACATAGATGGCATCTTGCACATTGCATCCACTATTGCATTAAAGGAGACCACCCAACATTTCATTATTTCTTGCCAAAGACCAGCCGGTAAAGAGTGCACATGCTTTTGTTTGAATTGGGTCGCTGCACACTCTGGAATAACCCCCCATCAGAACATTTCACTTCTAATTGATCCTCCAAGACATACAGTGCCAGTAGCTGAGTCAGTGGATTTTTCTTAGATTTGACCTGTGACATAAACGTCACTGGCAAGGTCAGCACGTATTGCTCATCCATAACTGCTCTCCAGAAATTGATGGTGAGACACGTTCATGAGCCACTGCTGTCCACATAGTGTAAGCATATCCACAATGGTGAGGGTGAAGAATCATAACAGTACTGTGCTTTCAAAATCCTTCTCTTCTTGGAGTTCCTTCACTAACTGGCCAGCTAGCACTGGGCATTAACTCAGTGCTTTGGACAAGGCAGAGCAGACAGAAGAGGTAAATATACGCGACTATGGCAAGGAAGAACACAAAGCTAGGTGCCAACAACACCATGACAACTTAGAGGAGCATATAAAAGCCAGCTGGAGGCTAATATCAAAATTGCTGAGAAGGGATAACAGTTGCTTTTAATGGAGAAAGAACTGGACTGTAAGAAAGGTCATCAATAATGTCAGTGAGTACTGGGGCAAGGACGAGTAATTGAGTGAGTGGTTAGGAGAGAGGTGTGAAGGAGATGATTCCCACAAAGAGAAGAAATCCATTGAAGACCAGGGAGTGGGAGATGAGGAGAACAACGGATACAGATGCTCTATGATGAAAGGTGATAACTGATGCAGCCATACAGTTCATCTCAATCTGAGAAATAAAAATCATCAGGTCTCCAATCCAAACCAAAGGAAGTTATGCATACAATTTATACACTCACAATATCGCCAAAGACTACTGTAGTTGTACAGACAATAGACTGATATTCACAGCAGCAAGTTTTAATTACCTTTCATGCTCTCCATATCGTTACAGGTTTATAACCAATCTTACCTGATTTGCTTGTAGTGCATCCAATCTTTTCTCATGGTCTTTACGAACATTTTCCAGTTTCTTCAATGCTTGTTTTTCCTTGAAAGATGAAATGAAAGCATGATGTATACAAAGCATTTTGTCCACCCTGAAAATCAGTGATGCAACCTTTCACGTGGAACATTTCAAAATAGATTCACAGAATCCCTACAGTGCAGGAAGAGGCCATCCAGCCCATCGGGTCTACACCAATCTTCCATAGAGCATCCCACCCAGACCCAGCCCCACAAATCAATCCTGTAACTCTGCAGGTCCCTGTGCTTTGAGGCAGCAGTGGAAACCACTGTGCTATCATGCCAGCCCTTGAAGAAAAGAAATAACTTCATTTATTTTCACAAGTGCTGGCATGCCACGAATTTTTTTGCAAACAAACCAATAAACATTACATTCTTATACTCATTGAGGAGTAAACCATGGCACAGAAATTCTAAAGGTGTTCTATTTTAGAAGGAGCCCAGCAGAACGTGCAAGTAAAAGGCTAAGATTTTTAAATTTGAAGTTCAAATTTTGTACAGCATAAAATCTTCCTACATAAGCACCCATACAGCCTCCAGGGGCAGTGTAGTCTCACATGGCTACAAGCTACAGAGTTTACTATTTACACAAGCAGATTGTTGTGCAAGTTACTCAGCAAATCATATGGTCAGTGAGCCAGAAGTTCTCACCATTGGCAGGATCTTCTAGAGTTGAAAGTTCTGTATTTAAAGGCCAACTGGATAACAGTTCAGAATTAATAGCTTGAAGGAATATGCTACTGCAGGATTAGCTTCAAGCTTGAGAATACCTCTTCTAAAGTACATGATGTCAGAACTAATGCAAAGTGCCCCGATAATGTATCCACGTGACCCTGGAATGAAGTGGATACCAGCAGGATCTCTGCTGCCACCATCAGCATCCTAACCCTCCCCAAAGTCCAAACCAACTCAGTAACCCTGTCCAGCAGCCTTTGTTTTCTGATTGATGATATGGCACCTGCTTGCAATCCTAAAGACCACACGCCTTGGCTACTTAGCCAATGGGGTATTGAGTGAATGTATTTTGCTTCATTCAGAGATTAGAAGATACTAATCAGGACACGACGCACTCTCAATAAGTCCTTCATGAAATTAGGTCAGAATTCAATGGTATAAGGGTAAAAAATAAATCAACATGTTATGACACAGCACCATGGCCATCACATCATTTGGAGGTGAAACCTAAATCCAGACAGACCTTTTGGCCCAGATGTAGAGGCTCAACACTGTTCCACAAGACCATTTAAAACTGAAGTTCTAGCAGCTGACATGATAGGACATTCTGCTTTGTGTATTGATGACAGATGAATACTTCTGTGTAATCACTGTACCATGATTACCAGACTAACTTTTGAGAATGCCTCACATTCCAGTACTGAACTCCACTCCATTTCAAAAGGTCAGTTACCCATTCCTTCCCTTTGAGAGCTGCTTTGTTGAACCTATTGCTGTTGGTTTTTGGATCGATAGGGTGAGGTCTAGACTTTGTGTTCAGTGCAGTAGCTTGGATCCACCTACAACCCCTCAAAAAAAAAAAAAAAAAAACATTCTTCATTGTTCCTATTGTGGAGCACCGCTTTGCCCAATGTCCCATCTCCCTGTTTCAGATGAGGACCTTTAAGTGGCCATCAATATCCCAGGTTTATTCCTATAACACGCCAAACACCTTTGCTGGTTCTGCACCTTAATATTTTGGGGCAAGAATATAACAAATTGCCTTGACCTCCACACACCCCACTTCAAAACTGTGAAGTACCCCCCTCCTATTTTACCATATCCTTTCCTACTATATTCAACCACCCCTGTGACTGTACTCTATGACTGAGGAAATGGTCACAATCAGCCTAATTCTCAGGCATGAATTACTCACATCCCCAACAACCATCATGGGCTGACTATATAAATCTCCAGATTATGTATTACACACCCACCCAAAGATATGGATGTGTCACTTAGCCCCATCTCACTGACCAAGACTGATGTTGTTTGATTGCCAGGATTGACCCTGGCCAATCACCAGGCTGAAGCCGATGACACAAAGATAGGTGGAGAGGGTCAGGAGGCTGCAGAAGGACTCAGACAGGCTAGAGCGTGAGGAAAGGAAGTGGCAGATGGAATATAATGTGGGAAAGTGTGAAGTTATGCACTTTGGTGGAAGAGTAGAGGCGCAGACTACTTTCTAAATAGGGAAAGGCTTCAGAAACCTGAAGCACATGGGGATTTAAGGGTCCTAGTTCAGGATTCTCTTAAAGTTAACAGGTTCAGATGGCACTTAGGAAGGCAAATCCAGTGTTAGTATTCATTTTGAGGCTGTATAAAGGCACTGCTCAAACCACATTTGGAATATTGAGAGCCATTCTGGGCCCCATATCTAAGGAAGGATGTGTTGGCCCGGGGTGGTGGTCCAGATGAGGTCTACAAGAATGATCCCAGGGATGTAGGGCTTGTTATGAGGAGCAGTTAAGGACTCTTGGTCTGTACTTGAGCGGAGTTTAGAAGAATGAGGGGGAGGATCTCATTGAAACTTACAGAATACTGAGGGGCCTGGATAGAGTGGATATGGAGAAGATGTTTACACTAGCAGGAGGCTAGGATCTGAGGGCATAGGCACAGAATGAAGGGGTGACCCTTCAGAATTAAAATGAGGAGGAATTTCTTCAGCCAGGGAGTGGTGAATCTGTGGGAATCATCACAACAGAAGGTTGTGGACATCAAATCATTCAGTGTATTTAAGACAGACAGATTGATCCCCTTGCTAACCAAGAATCTAAGGTCAGATGGAGAAGGCAGGAGAATGCAGTCGAGAAACATAGTAGCCATGATCGAATGGTAGAGGAGACTCGATGGGCCAAATGAATTAATTCTGCCCCAAATCTTATGGTCTTGTGGAAACAGTGTAAATCCCCAGACACGTGTTAGACAAACTACCTTAATGTGGCCAAACTCCCAAACTAGAAATAGCCCAGCTCTTAGACTGAGTGTGGCATACTCTCTAGCTGATGGGAGTCTGCATTTGCCCCACAAAACATGCCTGGCTTTTCCCATTCACACATTGCCATGATCTTCAAGCATATGCACCATCTCTGACGTTGACACATCACAATGTTGTAAAGCAACATGTAAGAGCTTTCACTGTTTCCTATAGCCACAAGCCACCTATCTTTACTTCTGTGCTGAAGCTTCCCTTTTAGATATAAGCTGCCTGGTTTGCCTTCTGTGCTAATTTGTCACTTGAGAAGCTGATGCTGCTGTCTCACTGCACCCACTGAAGTGCCACTGTGAAAGAAAAGCTGTTACCTCATTATGCCCAAAGTGGCACCAAAAAAACTGATGGTGGCAATATGATGTTGCCCTGTTGAGTGGAGTGATATTCAGGAGATTCACCATGCCTTAGACAACGTAGCGGCACTTACTGTAGCAGTTCCAGCAAAAGTGAACAACGGAGCACAGTGAAGGTATCAGAAGATACAGTGAAAACTGTGTACTCACTTGGACTGGAGGCAGAGGATCAAAGTTGACAGGTATGCACTTAGTTTATGGGTCAGGCTGCTGAATCGTCAAGACTCTCAACTGGGCAGAAATTATTTGAGAAGGGGCAAGTGAATTCTGGGGAGTAGGGTAATGAGATGCAAATGCATGAATACAGACTTCTCATTACCTGATAGCGAGAAGGTGATCTAGCCATGGAAGGAAGGAGAACTGAATTGAAAAGGGTTATCTCAATAGCTGGAATTTGATTTTTGGACTTTCACCCGTTTAACTCATCATACTCACCAACGTTTGCCAAATCACAGTCGAAAACTGCCCAACTGATTTCAGCACTTTACACTGTCCGCCTCTTGCCAAAGTTTGAACATTTTGGTTACAATAGCAATGGGGAGAAGCATTCTCATTTGAAACCCTCAAAAAGGGATACACCAATATAAATTACACTTCTCAGGTTTATCATTGAAAGATGCTTGAATCGGAAAATCTTGACAAAATTTTAATCAGTATTATATAAATAAAGAAAGACTTATAAACTGAATTTGGATTATGAAACAAATTTAGGGGAAACACATCACAGGTGTCAGTATTTCATCCTCAGCCACATGATAGCTCCTCAGCCTCCATTTTTTGCAGCAGCAGCAGGAGCAGTGAGAGCGAGGACCAGGCGGCTGCCGGGAAGGTAAGTTCTTCATTTCGGCAGCAGCGCTGAGTGGTAGTGGTCAAATTGCGCTCTCAGAACGTGAGTGAACTGATATATTTGGGCAGTGGCTAAACCCGAGACACTACACATGTAGTGTCTCCCACCTGCCCTCCTCCTCTGACCAAAAAAAAAGACTCTGGTATGTTGATAAGGTAAGTGTTTTTCTTTTTTTTTAAAATCGTGTGCTGGTAAGTGGAGTGATTTGGTACAAATGTTTTTCATTTCATTTATCTAGTATTTGATATTATAGTAGGACTAAGTTAAGCTTAAGAGTAAAAATGCAGGACATCCCAGACCTGTATTATGCTCCTCTTGCTCAATGTGGGAGCTCAGGGACGCGGCTGATGTCCCTGACTCCTACACATGCAAGAAGTGTGTCCAGCTGCAGTTCTTGTTAGACCGCATGACGGCTCTGGACCTGCGGATGGACTCACTTTGGAGCATCCGCGATGCTGAGGAAGTTGTGGACAGCACGTTCAGCAAATTGGTCACACCGCAGATTAGGATTGCTGAGGGAGAAAGGGAACGGGTGACCAAAAGGCAGTGCAGGTCATCTCCCTCCAAGATAGGTATACCGTTTTGGATACTGCTGGGGGAGATGGCTCACCAGGGTAAGGCAGCAGTAGCCAGGTTCATGGCACCGTGGCTGGCTCTGCTGTACAGAAGGGCGGGAAAAAGAGTGGAAGGGCTATAGTCATAGGGGATTCGATTGAAAGGGGAGTAGATAGGCGGTTCTGTGATCGAAAACGAGACTCCCAAATGGTATGTTGCCTCCCAGGTGCACAGGTCAGGGATGTCTCAGATCTTCTGCAGGACATTCTGAAGGGGGAGAGTGGACAGCCAGCTGTTGTGGTGCATATAGGCACCAATGATATAGGTAAAAAAGGGTCTACAAGCAGAATTTAGGGAGTTAGGAGCCAAATTAAAAAGTAGGACCTCAGAGGTAGTAATGTCAGTATTGCTACCAGTGCCACGTGCTAGTCAGAGTAGAAATGAAAGAATAGGCAGGATAAATGAGTGGCTTGAGAGATGGTGCAGGAGGGAGGGGTTCAGATTTTTGGGACATTGGGACTGGTTCTGGGGAGGTGGGACTATTACAAATCGGACGGTCTACACCTGGGCAGAACTGGAACCAATGTCCTAGGGGCTGCTTTTGCTAACGTGATGGGGAGGGTTTAAATTAATGTGGCAGGGGAATGGGAACCAAATGAGGAGGTTAGTGGACAGTAAGGAGGTAGTAACGAAAGCCTGTAAGGAACTAGTTAATGAAGTCAGTGTGACTAAGGGGAAGAGTAGGCAGAGAGTAGATGATGAACGCAAAGGGACAGGTGATCTGAGGTGCATTTGTTTTAATGCGAGAAGTGTAGTAGGTAAGGCAGATGAACTTAGGGCTTGAATTAGTGCCTGGGAGTATGATGTTATTGCTATTATTGAGACCTGGTTGAGGGAAGGGCAAGATTGGAAACTAAACATCCCAAGATATAGATGCCTCAGGCGGGATAGAGAGGGAGGTAAAAGGGGTGGAGCAGTTGCATTACTGGTCAAAGAGGATATCACAGCTGTGCTGAAGGAGGGCACTATGGAGGACTCGAGCAGTGAGGTAGTATGGGCAGAGTTCAGAAATAGGAAGGGTGCGGTAACAATGTTGGGGCTGTACTACCGGCCTCCCAACAGCGAGCGTGAGATAGAGGCACAAATATGTAGACAGATTATGGAAAGATGTACGTGCAACAGGGTGGTGGTGATGGGAGATTTTAATTTTCCCAACACTGACTGGGATTCACTTAGTGTTAGGGGTTTAGATGGAGCAGAATTTGTAAGAAGCATCCAGGAGGGTTTTCTGGAGCAGTATGTAAATAGTCCAACTCAGGAAGGGGCCATACTGGATCTGGTGTTGGGGAATGAGTCCGGCCAGGTGGTTGAAGTTTCAGTAGGGGATTACTTTGGGAATAGTGATCACAATTCCGTAAGTTTTAGAATACTGATGGACAAAGACGAGAGCGGTCCTAAAAGAAGAGAGTGCTGAATTAGGGGAAGGCCAACTATAGCAAAATTCGGCAGGAGCTGCGGAATGTGGATTGGGAGCAGCTGTTTGAGGGTAAATCCACATTTGATATGTGGGAGGCTTTTAAAGAGAGGTTGATTAGAGTGCAGGACAGACATGTCCCTATGAAAATGAGGGATAGAAAGGGCAAGATTAGGGAACCATGGATGACAGGTGAAATTGTGAGACGAGCAAAGAGGAAAAAGGAAGCATATATAAGGTCTAGGCGACTGAAAACAGACGAAGCTTTGGAAGAATATCGGGAAAGTAGGACCAATCTGAAACAAGGAATTAAGAGGGCTAAAAGGGGTCATGAAATATCTTTAGCAAACAGGGTTAAGGAAAATCCCAAAGCCTTTTATTCATACATAAGGAGCAAGAGGGTAACTAGAGAAAGGGTTGGCCCACTCAAGGACAAAGGAGGGAAGTTATGCGAGGAGTCAGAGAAAATGAGTGAGATTCTTAATGAGTACTTTGCGTTGGTATTCACCGAGCAGAGGGACATGATGGATGTTGAGGTTAGGGATAGATGTTTGATTACTCTAGGTCAAGTCAGCATAAGGGGTGGGGGTGGTGGTGGGGTGGGAGGGGAGGAGCGGGGAAGAGAGTGTTGGGTATTCTAAAACGCATTAGGGTGGACAAGTCCCCAGGTCCAGATGGGATCTATCCCAGGTTACTGAGGGAAGCGAGAGAGGAAATAGCTGAGGCCTTAACAGATATCTTTGCAGCATCCTTGAGCACGGGTGAGGTCCTGGAGGACTACAGAATTGCTAATGTTGTCCCCTTGTTTAAGAAGGGTAGCAAGGATAATCCAGGTAATTATAGATCGGTGAGCCCGACGTCAGTGGTGGGGAAGCTGCTGGAGACGATACTGAGGGATAGGATCTATTTACATTTGGAAGAAAATGGGCTTATTAGTGATAGGCGGCATGGTTTTGTGCAGGGAAGGTCATGTCTTACCAACTTGATAGGATTCTTTGAGGAAGTGACAAAGTTGATAGATGAGGGAAGGGCTGTAGATGTCATATACATGGACTTCAGTAAGGCGTTTGATAAGGTTCCCCATGGTAAGCTGACGGAGAAAGTGAAGTCGCATAGGGTCCAGGGTGTACTAGCTAGATGGATAGAGAACCGGCTGGGTAACAGGAGACAGAGAGTTGTAGTGGAAGGGAGTTTCTCAAAATGGAGAACTGTGACCAGTGGTGTTCCACATGGATCCGTGTTGGGACCACTGTTGTTTGTGATATACATAAGTGATCTGGAGGAAGGTATAGATGGTCTGATTAGCAAGTTTGCAGATGGCATGAAGACTGGTGGAGTAGCAGATAGTGAAGGGGACTGTCGGAGAATGCGGCAGAAGATAGATAGATTGGAGATTTGGGCGGAGAAACGGCAGATAGAGTTCAATCCAGGCAAATGCGAGGTGATGCATTTTGGAAGATCCAATTCAAGAGCGAACTATACGGTAAATGGAAAAGCCCTGGGGAAAATTGATGCACAGAGAGATCTGGGTGTTCAGGTCCATTGTACCCTGAAGGTGGAAATGCAGGTGGATAGAGTGGTCAAGGCGGCATATGGCATGCTTTCATTCATCGGACGGGGTATTGAATACAAGAGTTGGCAGGTCATGTTACAGTTGTATAGGACTTTGGTTCAACCACATTTGGAATACTGCGTACAGTTCTGGTCGCCACATTACCAAAAGGATGTGAATGCTTTGGAGAGGGTGCTGAGAAGGTTCACCAGGATGTTGCCTGGTATGGAGGGCGCTAGCTATGAAGAGAGGTTGAGTAGATTAGGATTATTTACATTAGAAAGACGGAGGTTGAGGGGGGACCTGATTGAGGTCTACAAAAATCATGAGAGGTATAGACAGAGTGGATAGCAAGAAGCTTTTTCCCCCAGAGTGGGGGACTCAATTACTAGGGGTCACGATTTCAAAGTGAAAGGGGAAAAGTTTAAGGGAGATATGCATGGCAAGTTCTTTACGCAGAGGGTGGTGGGTGCCTGGAACGCGTGGCCAGCAAAGGTGGTAGAGGCGGGCACGATAGCATCATTTAAGATGTATCTAGACAGATACATGAATGGGCAGGGAGCAGAGGGATACAGGTCCTTGGAAAATAGGTGACAGGTTTAGATAGAGGATCTGGATCGGCGCAGGCTTGGAGGGCCGAAGGGCCTGTTCCTGTGCTGTAATTTTCTTTGTTCTTTGATAGGAAACGAAGATTAGGGAACCTGATGCACAAAAAAAAATGGCACAAGGAGCAAAGATTTACCTTGATGGATGCTGTGCATTTCTAGGATGAATAGGAGCTATTCTGCAAGGAATTGCTATGTCTTAAAAGGACTGGAAAGCCCGGGGGGGGGGAGGGAAAGAGGTGTGGGTGGGTGGCTGGCTTTAATTTAATGGCTGAGGTCCATTTTCTTTCTAGGCAACAAAACAAATTGAAAAATAAAAATATTTTTGCAAAATTTTGATCATGAATGTCTAGTATCACTACAACTTAACAAATTTGGTGAATCTCGCAGGGTATATAACACATTAATTGATCACATGGCCAAACTAGCCCATGCAGGTATTTATGCCTTACTTAAGCCAAAGCAATCATTGGTTAGAATGCCAGAGGCAGGCGTATCTTTTAACACTGCTTTCTGCACGCATTGACTGACTTCTCTCAGCAACTAGCTGCACAAAGAAATATCAAAAAAGTGCAATTACAGAATTTAAAACAAAACAAATTTTTTCCGGGCTGTTATAACCAATTAAATCTTACCTGTTGCAAAGCCTTTAAGTCTATTTTCTGGCCTTCTAATTTTGAGTAAAACTCATCAACTGCCTGAGCAAAAACAGATTTTAACGTCAGTATAAAAGTTTAAACATATATAAGAAAAAAAAAGAGAAAGCTTTCACATTGCTATTGCTCATGCATCAGTGTCAAGCACTATCCCACTTCAGCTCCCCAAGTGATCCTTGAACTCAGACTGTTAGTGAACTACTCAGCACAGAATATATACTACACCCAAGCCCAATCCTGCCTTCACTTGTACTACACTTGTACTTCAGAAGTTGCCTGGTAGCAATTAACAGCAGAAACCCTTTAACCAATAGACACCAAGACCAGCTGCTGTAGTCCTATCTGCATCCCAACTGACATTAACAAATGCAGTACAGACCAGAAGGTGCTGAGTCACTGTTTATTTGTATTCTGGGAGTGGACTTCGCAATCAGTGCAAGCATGAAGGGTATTGCGGAAGAACGTGCTGCTAAGGAACAGTTAGCCCCAAACATTTCAAAGGAAGGGAGAGGCAAGGTTCAAAGGAGACAGAACATTGCGAAAGTAAGGTCAGCAGCAAGAGTTCCAGCGGGTAAAGGAGCACGAGCCTGAATTGTTTCTGGAAACTGTTGTTGGTAACTAACAGACAGGTTTTGAGAAATTGTTATCAGAGCAGACAGCATCAAAAGCTTCAACTTGGTCTTAAAAGTATTGGACATTGTAAGGTTTAATCAACTTAAAAAGGGGTAAGACATGGCAGGACAGTTCCAAATCGTAATCTGTTCCTCTTGCTCAACGTGGGAAGCTGGGCACATTTCCAGCATCCGGGACCTGCATGTGCGCAAGTAGTGTCTCCAACTGCACCTCCTGAAAGCCCGAGTTTTGGAGTTGGAGAGATGGTTGGGGACACTGTGGAGCATTCATGAGGCGGAGAGTGTCGTGGTTAGCATGTATAGAGAGGTGGTCACACTGCAGATTCAGACTCCACAGGCAGAAAGGGAGTGGGTGACCATCAGGCAGATCAGGAGAGCTAAGCACGCACTGCAGAAGTCTCCTGTGGCTATTCCCCTGCAAAACAGATGTACCGTTTTGGATACTGTTGAGGGGAATGGCCTCTCAGGGGATAACGGCAGCAGCCAAATTCATGGTACTATGGTTGGCTCTGCTGCAGAGGGAGGGAAAGATAGGCATAGAAATGCCGTAATCATAGGAGATTCAATTGCAAGTGGAATAGACATGCGTTTATGTGGCTGCAAACGAGAGTCCAGGATAGTGTGCTGCCTGCCTGATGCTAGGGCCCTAGGATGTCTCAGAGCGGTTGCAGGGCATTCTGGAGGGAGAAGGCGAAAAGCCAGTGGTCGTGGTACACATTGGTACTCATGACACAGGTGAAAAAAAAAGGATGAGGTCCTAAAAGCAGAATATAGAGAACTAGGAAGAAAGTTGAAATGTAGGACCTCAAAAGGTAGTAACCTCAGGATTACTACCAGTGCCATGAGCTAGTCAGAGTAGAAACAGCAGGAAATACAGTGTGAACACGTGGCCGAAAAGATGGTGCGGCTGAGGGGTGGGGGGGGGGAGCAAATCCAGATACGTGGGGCATTGGGACCGGTTATGGGGGAAGGTGGAACCTGTACAAACTGAATGGGTTATACCTGGGCAGGATCGGGACTGATGTCCTTGGGGGAAGATACTTGGTAGAGTGGTTGGCAAGGGTTTAAACTAGTGTGGTAGAAGTTGGGAATCAGTGGAGTAGGGTAGTAGATGCAGAAATTAAGAGTGAGGTATAAACCAAGCAAACATGACTAAGAACAAGAACTGGCAGGGAAACACTGCTGAAAAGAGCAGGGGAGGTGGTCTGAAATGCATGTGTTTCAATGCGAGACGTATAATAGGCAAAGCAGATTAACTTAGAGCTTTGGTTAGTACTTGGAACCATGACATTATTGTGATTACACAGACTTGGCTGAAAGAGGGACAGGACTGACAGCTGAATGTCCCGCGTTTTAGATGTTTCAGGTGTGATAGGAACGGAGGTAAAAGGGGTGGGGGAATTGTTTTACTAAGAAGAGAGACAGTATCTCCCAACTATACTGAGGGAGGATACACCAGAGAACTCATGCAGCGATGCTATAGCGGTAGAACTCATGAGTAGGAAAGGTGAAATCATAATGCTAGGGCCAACAGCCAGCGGGCGAGAGAGGATTGAGCATGTGGACAGATATTGGAAAGATGGAAAAACATCAGGGTTCCTATAGTGGGTGATTTTAAACTTCCCCTACATTGACTGGGATTCACTACGTGCTGGGGGTTGGATGGGGCAGAATTTGTAAGCATCATTCAGGAGGGATTATTGACACACTGTGTAAAACAGTCCAACCAGGAAAGGGGTCATACAGGACTCGGTTTGAGAAATGAGCCCAGCCAAGTGACTGCAGTTTCGTTGGGGAAGCATTTCGTAGTAGTGACCATAATACCGTGAGTTTTAAGATACCCATGGATAGGGATAATGACAGTCCTTGGGTGAAGGTGTTAAATTGGGGCATGGCAAAGTACAACAATATAAAGGTAGGAACTGGAGAATTTTGACTGGAGGCGGCTGTTTGAGGGTAAATCTACATCAGACATGTGGGAGTGTTTCAAAAGGCAGTTGATAAGACTTCAGGAGTGGCATGTTCCTGCAAGAATGAAAGATAGGTATGGCAACTTATGTGAACCTTGGATGACTAGGGATGTTATGACCTTGGTCAAAAAGAAAAAAGCATGCCTAAGGTCTCGGAGAGTGGGAACTGATGAAGCCCTTTAAATATACAAGGAAAGTAGGAAAGAACTTAAACAAGGAATTAAAAGGGCTAAAGGGGTCATGAAAGGTCATTAGCCAACATGATTAAGGAAAATCCCAAGGCTTTCTATACATATATAGAAAGCAAGGGGTTAGCCAGAGAAAGGGTTGGCCCACTCAATGATAAAGAAGGGAATACGAGTGTGGATCCAGAAGAGGTAGGTGAGGTCCTAAATGAATGCTGTGTGTCGGTATTCACCAAAGAGAAGGAATTGGTGGAGGATGATCTCACGGAAGGGAATGTCAAGTTTCTAAGCCAAGTTGCTATTAAAAAGGAAAAGTTGTTGTGCATCTTAAAAAGCATTAAGGCAGATAAGTTCCTGGCTCCTGACGGGATGTATGCCTCCCTCAGTATTCTGGCAAGAGAACAAACTGCTGGAGCATTGACAGACTTTGTATCCTCTTTGGCCACAGGTGAGGTCCCAGAGGACTGGAGAATAGCCGATGTTGTCCCATTGTTTAAGAAGGGTAACAAGGATAATCCTGGAAATCACAGGCCTATTAGCCTCACATTGGTGGTAGGGAAATTGTTGGAAAAGATTGTCGGGGATAAGATCTACATGCATTATAAGCATGTGGACCTATTAGCGATAGACAGCATGATTTTGTGTGGGGGAGGTCATGCCTCACTAACTTGATCAAGTTTTTTGAGGAAGTGATGAAGATAATTGTTGAGGAAAAAGTAGTTGATGTTGTCTACATGGACTTCAGTAAATCCTTTGACAAGCTCCCTCATGGATGACTCACATGGTATCAGAGGTGAGCTGGCAAGATGGATACAGAACTGGCTTAGTCATCAGAGACAGGTGGTAGCAATGGAAGGATGCTTTTCAGGATAGAGGGCTGTGACTAGTGGTGTTTCACAGGGATCAGTGCTGGGACCTCTGCTGTTTGTGATCTTCATAAATGATTTGAGGGAAAACATTGCTGGTCTAGTTCGTAAGTTTGTCAACAATACAAAGATTGGTGGAGTTGCGGATAGTGAGGAGGATTGTCAGAGGATACAGCAGGACATAGATCAGTTGGAGGCATGGGCAGAAAAACGGCAGATGGAATTTAAATCAGGAAAAATGTAAAGTGATGCATTTTGGAAGGTCAAGTACACATGGAAATTATACAGTGAATGACAGAACCTTTAGGAGTATTGATATGCAGAGGGATCTGGGTGTGCAGATCCACAGATCACTGAAGGTGGCAGCATGAGTGGATAAGGTAGTAAAAAAAAAAAAAAAAAAAAGGCTTATGGCATGCTTGCCTCCATTGGAAGGGGCATTGAGTACAAGGATAGACAAGTTATGCTGCAGCTTTGTAGAACCTTAGTTAGGCCACATGTGGAATATTGCATACAGTTCTGATCACCACACTACCAGAAGGATGTGGATGCTTTGGAGAGGGTAGAGAAAAGATTTACCAGGATGTTGTCTGGTATGGGGGATTTTAGCTCTGAAGGAAGATTGGATCAACTGGGTTCGTTTTCACTGGAACATAGGAGGTTGAGGGGCAACCCGATAGAAGTTTATAAAATTGTGAATAGCATGGATGGAATGGAAAGGAAAGTATAAGGCTTTTTCCTGGGGTGGAGGGGTCAATTACTAGGGGACACAGGCTCAAGGTGGGGGTGGGGGAGTTTAATAGAGATATGCAAGGCACGTTTTTCCACTCAAAAGTGTGGTGAGTGCCTGGAATGTGTTGTCAGGAGAGGTGGTGGAAGTAGATGCATTGGCAGCATTCAAGCAGCATCTGGACGAGTACATGAATAGGAAGGGATTACAGAGATATGGAACCTGTAAGTGAAGACAGTTTTCGTATGCAAGGGCAAAATGTGTTGGCGCAGGCATGGTTCTTGTTCTTTGAATGTGGGCCTTTCTGGTTTTTAATGGTCCAGTTATTCATTGTTTTATTGTTGGAATAATACTTATGAGAGTTTTTTCCCCCCCACTTCAAAATGTACCACAATTTTGTAAAAGATTTTATTCTCTGGTAATAGATAAATAATGCAAAACACATTTCTTATACTCTAAACTCAAAAATAAACAACCTGCAAAGTTAATAATTCGCCTTTCATATTCAATGTTTGATGGCAAGAGTTTTTCACTGAAAGCTTTATTTGCAGCATAAAATGTAATCTATTATCTATAACATTCTATCAGATGCAATTATTAATGCCATGAATTTCCAGTAGTGATTACAGTAGTACAAATGGGACATAATGCCAGTCATTAATTTATATCATTTCTCCTATCAAGCAATTCATGGAATACAGGGAGAACTAGCCACTTAGATAAAGAATTGGCTCAGAAATAGGATGCAGAGGGTGGTGGAAGATTGCTATTCAGACTGGAGGCCTGTGGCCAGCAGTGTGCCACAAGGATCGGTGCTGGGTCCACTGGTTTCATCATTATTATAAATCTTTTGGACGTGAACATAAGAGGTATGATTAGTAAGTTTGCAGAATACACGAAAATTGGAGTTGTACTGGACAGCAAAGAAGGTTACCTCAGAGTATAATGGGATCTTGATCAGACGGGCTGGCAGGCCAAGGAGTGGCAGATGGACATTAATTTAGACAAATGTGAGGTGCTGCATTTTGAAAAGGCAAATCAGGACTGGACATATACAATTTATGGTAAGGTCCTGGGGAGTGTTGCTGACAAAGACAGACCTTGGAGTGCAGGTTCATATTCCTCGCAATTAGAGTCGCAAGTGGACAGGATAGCGAAGGCAGCGTTTGGTATGTTTGTCTTTATTGGTCAGTGCATTGAAAATAGGAATTGGGAGGTCATGTTGCAGCTGTACAGGACGTTCGTTAGGCCACTTTTGGAATACTGCGTGCAATTCTGGTCTCCCTGTTATAGGAAGGATGTTGTGAAACTTCAAAGGGTTCAGAAAAGATTTACAAGGATGTTGCTAGAGTTGGAGGGGCTGAGCTACAGGGAGAGGCTGAATAGGCTGGGGCTATTTTCCCTGGAGCGTTGGAGGCTGAGGGGGTGACTTTATAGAAGTCTATAAAATCAATAGGTGCATAGATAGGGTGAATAGCAGTGGTCTTTTCCCCAGGGTAGGGGAGTCCAAAACTAGATGGCATAGGTTTAAGATGAGAGGGGAAAGATTTAAAAGGGATCTAAGGGGCAACTTTTTCATTCAGAGGGCGTTGCATGTATGGAATGAGCTGCCAGAGGAAGTGGTGGAGGCTGGTACAATTACAACATTTAAAAATGCACCTGGATGGATGCATAAATAGAAAAGGTTGAGGAGAGATATCAGCTAAATGCTGGAAAATGGGACTAGATAAATTTAGGATATCTGGTCACCATAGACAAGTTAAACCAAAAGGGTCTGTTTCCATGCTGTATACCTCTATGACTCCATGACTCAAAGAGATCAAGCAAAAAGACGACTGCAGTAAACAACAGCACATATAATCAATCTCCATGAAAGAATACATACGTAAGGGAATATTCAACTTGTATTTTCAGCAAGAATATTTAAATTCAAGATTTTTCGTTCCAGCTATGAGAAAGTGTTCATATTTTTAGCTTTTTTGCAAGAAGCAAGCTCTCAACAAAAAGATAATTCAAAAAAAAAGAGTTGTTGAAACTCGTGTATTTTACAACCAAATTATCCCACTATAAAATAGAAATGCCGTTTAGTATTTTGATTCATTTTTGCTGTAAAAGGTAATCAGTTACTAAAAAGCTAATCCATATCGAAGCCATACAGTAACATCAAACCAGAGTGCTGAAAGTAATAGATTTTAGAAGAAATAATAAGGACAATGGAATAATATTCAAATTATAACCAAAATCACACAATTAGGGTCCATTTAAGATAATTCTCATGAGAAGCCTTGATCCCAAGCAACTTTCTTTCCCCTGCAACACGAACATGAGTATGTAACAAAAGCTTCTATATGACAGTATTACAGCTTGTGCTTATTGAAGACGTTATCCTATTTGTAAGTGTTAAGAACTAAGTGTTAGAGAGTGACATTCTGTTACTAGGCATCCCACACCATCCCTGAATATGACTGAATAGTTTTTAAACAAACATTAAAGAAAAAAAATATAAAATCCAGCAGGATATTATTACCTTATCAAATGAGTCAAACACTATGCAAGAATAGTTTGTATGCTGCTCATAAAGAAATGGATGAAATTCCTCATAGCTGCAAAAAAGAAAAACATTTTTTAAAAGGCTGTCTTTCATCAATAGAGCCACAGTTCAAAGCAAGAAATATAATACTTACGTCAACAACTCCTCAGGTGGCTTGTCTGGATCCAAACTTGGCTTTCTGTCTTGTTTCTGTATTATATAACCCTAATCAGGAGTACCAAAAGAAAAAATACAATGTATATTTCATAGTTGTAAGTAGTTTAAAATTTAAATAGCTACATGATTTTTAAAACCATCTTGACACATCAGCCTGAAATTTACAGGTACACAGGTCACTCACTCAAAGTGGCAACGCAGGTGGAAAAGGTAGTCAACAAGGCATATGGCATGCTTGCCTTCATCAGCCAGGGCACTGAGTTTAAAAATTGGCAGGTAACGTTGCAGCTTTATAGAACCTTAGTTCGGCCACATTTGGAATATTGTGTTCTGGTCGCCACACTACCAGAAGAATGAGGTGGCTTTGGAGAGGGTACAGAAAAGATTTACCAGGATGTTGCCTGGTATGGAGGGCATTAGCTATGAGGAGAGTTTGGAGAAACTTGGGTTGTTCTCACTGGAACAAAAAAGGTTGAGGGGGTCCTGATAGAGGTCGACAACATTATGAAGGGCATGGGCAGACTGGACAGTCAGAAGCTTTTTCCCAGGGTGGAAGAGTCAGTTACCAGGGGCCATGGGTTTAAGGTGCAAGGGGCAAGGTTTAAAGGTGACGTGCGAGGTAAGTTTTTTTTTCCCCACACAGAGGGTGGTGGGTGCCTGGAACTCGCTGCCAGGAGAGGTAGTGGAAGCAGGTACTACAGTGACTTTTAAAGAGCATCTTGACAAATATATAAATAGGATGGGAATAGAGGGAAAGGGTCCCCAGAAGGGTAGGGGGTTTTAGTTGTGATGGGCAGCATGTTGGTACAGGCTTGGAGGTCCGAAGGGCCTGTTCCTGTGCTGTAATTTTCTTTGTTCTTGTTCTTACCAAATATTGGCCAAGTGTCAATTTCAGGGACTTCCACTGAAGGTTTCTTTCTGAGCTCTAATGAGTTATCTCACCCTATTCTCCACTGCTCACCTTGTTACATACAGACTATGCCTAAGTCATGCACTCAAAGCAGAAGTGCTCACCAGTTCCAGGACCTCTCAGGACTCCCATGTCAGCCCCACTTTAACCACACCAGATGTGGTGCACACCAGTGCACCAGGTCAAGCACTGTCAGTCACGAACCACCCTTCACAGTTGCAACGTCTGAAGAATTGCCCCGGAGATGGCCAACAGAGGGAGGTTAGCTCCCACTTCGCCATCAGGGACCTACAGATCCTAGGGGATGGGGCAATGGAATGGAAGGCCTCTTCTTTTCTCAGGATTTTCAGAGGAGACGAGGGCACCATGCCACATTCCCTGGTCTGAAGTTGCCAACCGGATCATAGAAACACAAGAATCGGAAGGAATAGGCTATTCAGCTACTCAAGCCTGCTCCATCATTTAATAAGAACACGGTTGATTTGTTTGTAACTTTAAATCCCCACCCCTGCCTACCTCTGATAACCTTTCAACCCATTGCTGTCCAATAGTGCGGTATTCATGCTAAGTATGTAATTAAGTGCCACCATCTTCTCTTTGCCTTCTCACATTCATGCTAACTCTGACTACCCCAACCTCACACCAAGGCTCATGGTCTACCACTCTCAATGCTATATGCAGTATCTACCCTCTCAGCCCCCAGCGCCCCAGACTCAGAATGCCTCACCACTTCTCCCACCTACATCAACATTAACAGCTGTGGCAGCTACTTCCGGCTCATGGAAATCTTCCCTTTGTGATGATGCGGTCAGTTTAAAAAAGGTTATTTTGTCCTTGGTTTTTTTTGAAGAAAGGCAGAGGTACCGAAGAGTCTAGGGAGTTACAGTTTAACGATGGAAAGGGAGGGGCCAGTTCTCCCAGTTCAGGTTTTTTCTAGAAGAGGCTTCGCAGTGGGGTTAAAATTATTTCAGAGATAGTAGGAACTGCAGATGCTGGAGAATCTGAGATAACACGGTGTAGAGCTGGATGAACACAGCAGGCCAAGCAGCATCAGAGGAGCACGAA